AAACCAGAAGTGGCACTGTCCCAGAGTTCAAGCCCCAAGACCAACAACAACAAAAAAGGAAACTCAGACTTTCCTGCCTGGGCTATCTTCAAACTGTCACCATTACTTGGTGTTTTTGCTCAAAGTTGATGCTATACCTTTGAGCCACTTCCAGTTTGTTTGTTTGTTTTTTGTTGGACATGGGGCTTGAACTCTGGGCCCTGGGCACTGTCCCTCAGCTCTTCAGCTCAAGGCAAGCACTCTACCACTGAGCCACAGTGCCACTTCCAGTTTTCTAGTAGTTTACTGGAAATAAGAGTCTCACGGACTTTTCTGCCCAGGCTGACTTTGAACCAGCTATCTTCCTGAGTAGCATGAGCCACCAACGCCCAGCTCACTTCTAGTTTTAAATCTCAATCTTCAGATTTCAGATTCCAAGCATTACAGGTGTGGGCCTTCAGTGCTCAGCTTTCAGCAGTTTAATTTGAAGGGATAAAGAATGTGGATTCTCAGCTGAAAGCCAGCAACTCACTTCTATAATCATAGCTATTCATGAGGCTGAGATGTGAGGATCAAGATTCCAAACCAGCCTAGGCAGGAAAGTTTCTTATCTCCAATTAACCACCAAAGAGCCACAAGTTGTGCTGTGGGTCAAGTAGTAGGGCACTGGCCTTGAGCAAAAAAGCTCAGAGGACAGTGCCCAGGCCCTGAGTTGAAGCACACATGGGCGCGCACACACACATGTGAATTCTAGAGTTTAAATCCAGGCCATGTCTTATCACTGCTGGATGATCTTGGGTTAGTAGCGTGTCTTTTCTTTTTATCAATTGTGGGGCTTGAACTAAGGGCCTGGGCTCTGTCCCTGTACCTCTTTCCTTTATGCTCAAGGCTAGTGCTCTACCACGTGAGCTACAGCACCACTTCTGGTTTTAGAGTGGTTAATTGGAAATGAGTCTCCTGGGGACATTTCTGCACCAGCTGGCTTTGAACCGATCTTCAGATCTCAGCCTCCAGAGTAGCTAGGATTATAGGCGTGAGCCACTGGTGCCTGGCTAGCAGGTCTTTTCTAAACCTCATCTGATTATCGATTAATCAACTTATCAATAGCTTTTTACAAGTAATTTTATAATTTACTAAAAGTACATAGAACTTAAATTTTCTGGTAGCTATGTTCAGCCGTGTGTGTTTGTGTGTGTGTGTGTGTGTGTGTGTGTGTGTGTTGTGTGTTGGTCCTGGGGCTTCAACTCAAGGCCTGGGCTGTTGGTCCTGGGGCTTCAACTCAAGGCCTGGGCTGGCTCCAAACCATGTTCCTCAGATCTCAGCCTCCTGAGTAGCTAGAATTACCACTATGAGCCGCCAGCATCAAGCCAGCCCTTTAATAATATTAACTGATTTAATTTTTTATTTTTATTTTTTTGTCGATCATGGGGCTTGAACTCTGGGCCTGGGTGCTGTCCCTCAGCTCTTTGGCTCAAGGCTAGCGCTCTACTACTTGAGCCACAGTGCCACTTCCAGGTTTTTCTGCTTATGTGGTGCTGAGGAATCAAACCAAGGGCTTCATTCCGTGCAAGGCAAGCACTCTACAACTGAGCCACCTTCCCAGCCCACTGATTTAAATTTTCATAAGTCAGGGCTGGGAATGTGTGGCCTGTCTAGCATGCATGAAGCCCTGGGTTTAATTCCTCAGTGCCACATCAACTGAAAAAGCCAGAAGTAGTACTGTGACTCAAGTGGCAGCACTAGCCTTGAACAAAAGAACTCAGGGACAGTGCCCAGGCCCTGAGTTCAAGCCCCAGGACTGGAAAAAAAAATTTTTTTTTCATGAGTCAGATAACATGGAGTACCTGAAATATAGATCGTAGAACACAGTAAACACAGTGTGTGTGTACATGTGTCAGTGCTCTGGCTTGAATTCAAGACCTGGGAGCTATCAGTGAGTTGTTTTTTTTTGGGGTCCGGTCGTGGGGCCTGAACTTTGGGCCTGGGCCCTGTCCGTCAGCTCTTCAGCTCAAGGATAGCGCTCGACCACTTGAGCCACAGCACCACTTCTGGCTTTTTTCTTTTTGCTTATGTGGTGCTGAGGAATCGAACCCAGGGCCTCGAGCATGAAGGCAAGCGCTCT